GTATCTGTTTATATTTATGAGATGGGAGCACCTCGAGGCGGTGTAATGGTTAGCAAGCGTGCCTTACAAGCACAATTATGACTGAGTAGTGAGTTTGATCCTCACTGTGTACCACATTTTTTCGGCATGTGCCACATCTGAGCTACGCTTGAAAAATCACTATATTTATAAGATGAGGTATTATGTACATTATTTACATTATTCTTTCTTTTCACTCAGTTTTCACTTTTCAGTTTCAATAAATAAAAAAATAATTAAAAATGGCAATTTTTTCGGTATCTGTCTATATTCTGAGATGAGGTATTATGTACATTATTTACATTATTCGAACTATTGTCCTCATCTTTGTCGCCATATTTATCACAACGTTTCGGCCGTTAGTTATATCGTCTGACAGAACCCAAAGAGTGTGAGTTCAATACCCAGTTAAGGCAGTGGAGAACTTTCAGAGGGAAATTAACAGGAGATAACTGATAACTGACATCCATTAAATATGACAAGTGGAACTAGAACAGTCTACCCCAGTGAGCGAAATAAAGGTTTCATTTCGACATTCCAACCACCTGAAGAAGGCCGGAGCGTACAACGGCCGAAACGTTGTAATAAACATGGCGACAAAGATGAGGGCGATAGTACGAATAATGTAAATAATGTTTTATCATGGTTAATGAATATAAGAGTAGTCTGTTTTTACGTCTTATCAACCCTTTGCAGGGTATTTAAAGCTAGAAAATATTTTTAGATTGTAAGAATTTTTTGTAGATAATAATAATTTAGTGATACAAGTCGTACTAATTAACCCATAGCTGGGAGGAGAAGAACTGGATTCATACATATCACAAGAGTATTTTCACGTGTATATATATATATATATATATATATATATATATATATATATATATATATTTATTTATTTATTTATTTTAGGATATTACACTGAAAACATATCAAAATCGCTACACAATTGCATCCGTGTTTCGATGCGTATCAAATGTATCTCATCAGGCGAGTGAATGATTTATTTAGATTTAAAAGCAAAATACAAACTCTTTTTACAAAAATGAAAGAAAGGTGGATATAAAGTTTATGGACTTTACTCTGACCAACCAATTAAATATGACCTACGTTAAATTTAAACCAAGCGAAGATGCAAAAATTAAAAAAATTATATTAGAAATGGGTCATGGGTCATAGATTGGCAGTTAATGCCAGTTACCTATATATATATATATATATATATATATATATATATATATATATATATATAGTTAAACCTAGAGAGCCAGACAAACCTACCAAGGTTTCACACACACACACACACACATATATATGAATAGAGTGGCACTTAGTATTGTTGAGGGCCACACTGTTTATATGTGTCTGTGTGTGTATATATATAAATAATTCTAATTTATATATATAAATAATAATAAATGCTTCTGATTGATTATATATGTGATTATTTCTTTGTATGTAAATTATATGCTGCCTAATGTTTTATGTTTATAAAAAACTATCGATCCACAGTGCATAAAAATTCCTATAAAAAAAACTACTACTAAGACATAACACTATATTAATTGAACTATATACTTAGTTCATGACATAAAAACTGAATACACTTGTAAAAATAGAATACGCGGACTTAACACATCACAAGAAATATTTAAATAAAATTCTCACTTAAAATTTTGAAAAACTTAGCGTTGCGTCTTTGCACGTTCCGAGATCTTACACAACCGTCAATAATAGCAGATATTCAAAAAACATCTTTCGGTCGACATACAGGTATATCGTCTTCAAGTTTTTGATTTTATAAGGAAAAAACACATGCCTGATGATGAATAGAGGACTATTCGTAAGTACTAGCATTTTAACATCAAATAAACTGAAAACTACAGACATCAAGTTTACCGACGAGGATCACTTCGCTCTATGGATTAACAGTATTTTAATGCATATATTATGTTTCTAGCGATGGATGTCGCCAATAACCGCATTAATACTTCTGATTGATTCTATGTGTGATTATTTCTTTGTATATAAATATATATATATCAAAAAGTAAAAAAGTATATATATATAATATATATATATATATATATAAAAAAAAAAAATTAAAATCAAACTCAGCGTTGCTTTGGCGCGTTCAAAAACCAATAACTCATTTTCAATAGCATTTCGGATACAATAACACATATATTTTCGATGTCCTCTTATTACTAAGAGAAAAAAAACAAGAACAACATCTATTATATACCTGAAGATGTCTGTAGGAACAGACGAAAGCTTGTAGTAAAATAACAACTAATACGGCAGAAATTTATATAAACAAGGATCAATTCATTCATAACGGATCTGGAGGTTTTTGTGTACTATTTGAATTGTTTGCGATGATGGATGTCTCGCCATTTAAACCATTAACCTTTGCATTAGTTTTGTGTGAATAATTCATGTATTTGTAAATTGATTGCACGTTTATTGTAATATATATATATATATATATATATATATATATATATATATACTCTTTTACTTATTACTTATTGCTCTTAGCATTATTGAGGGCCACTCTGTTTATTAAAGCCTTTGTCAAGTTCTGTTCCGTATTACAACCTGATTAAACAACAAAAAAAAATCGATATAATTCTAATAACTCATTTCAAGAGGGCGAGACAAGCGTTGTTATGAACATTAAACTCTAATCTATTTAGTTCCTATGTCCATAAATTTCCTGTCTCAGTCTAGAAGGAAACTGCTTTTTTGTTTGCAGAGGACAACACAGCTGACAGTCAACTTGGTATTTTACTATCGACATCTGGAAAAGAAAAAAATGCATCCTTAAAATATAACAAGTGTGCTTAATAAAATTACAGATTTTATTAAATTGTTTAAGATGGTACTTAAACTGTCAATTCACATGAATGTATTTCAACCGAAATTATTTAAAAAATAACGTCCGTGTATTTTTATTATTATTATTAGTTATTTGTGTAGCGTTGCAGCTCGAACCAGTCCCCAGGTTTGGAATCGTCACCCACGAAATGAAACCACGAGACGATTATAGCAGGAGGAAAATTTGTAACCTTTTGCTGTCGATGAGCGAGGTGATAGGGTGAACAGTCTAACGGCCTTCGTCTTCCTTTTCATGCCACGGTAGACGGTCACTTGTCTTTCTCTTTGTATTTCTCTGTGTTTCTTTGTCCGTTGTGTGTCTCTGTGTTCTAGGGGCCACTTGCTTATAGAGAACAGCGTTCTTAGTTTTGTCAGCTATGTCTAAAACACTCCTTCGTCAAGAACTCAGATCTATGGGTAAAAAGCAAAACAGACTCGGTTCCATAACCTTGGTTGGTGAATAGTCTAGAACAGGGGTCGGCAAACCCCTGCCCCCGGGCTACATCCGGCCCGCGAAGGATTTTTGTCCGGTCCTCCAGCTTAATACTTGGACACTAATTATATAATTAACTTGTGGAGCATATTGCAGAAAAAAAAATATCATTTGGTGTTAACTGACTTACAATGCGAAGAATTTTTGTAAATCAAAATTTCATTCCGTACTCACTGTTGATTTCTACAAGAAATATATTTCGACAAGCGGCAAATAGAAATAGCCTATTAAATAATTCTAAAATGATGGCATCATTATTTGGAAGTACATATGATTGTTGTTATAACCTAGAAAAGGTTACTAAATGAGGAATAACCAAAACGGAGATTGGAAATTAAATAATAATCTTTATAACATCAACAAAATACAATACTCGCCAGCAGCCTGAAATAGGTAAACCACTGCTAGTGATGGACTACTTAGACACCATATTACTCCCACTTACAATAGTGTCCAACGTATTTCTGAGGATTGGGACATACCCATTAGTGTTCATATGTACGGTATAACACTTGTGAACAACTTTTTTTCAAAAATGAAATCTACTAAAAGTCATTTAAGAACAAGGTTGGGTGATGACCACCTGAATGATATTTTGCTCCTGTCATCGACAAATATTTCACCTGATGTAAAGAAGTTATCAAACAAATAGCAGAAACAAATGTCTCATTAAATAATTTACCGTTTCTAACAATATTTTGTTTGTAAGGAATTTGCATTTTTTGTTGATTCTGATCTTGTAGTAAAATAAGGAACCTTGTTTAAATAATATAGCATTAACTTTGTTGTTGTTGTTTCTTTAAACTTCCAGACCAAGGCAGCGTTCTGGACAAAGCTGTCTGAGATCAAGACAATTTGATATCATGGCCCTCTTCCAAGACAATGCATAGCTTTCTGGCCCACTCTCTCCAAAAAGGTTGCCAACCCCTGTTCTAGAAGGAAAACTGACTTCAAACCAACTTGGAGAGGGTTGGGTTCCGTCAAACTATCTAGCCTAAGACACACCACAGCTGTCACAGCTGCAGTACATGTAATGCCCCTTAGATCTTAATACGTTACTGGACTCGTGATCGATCGTGGCATATGTGCTGGATGTTATTTAAAAAGAAATTATACTTTAAGTGTCACAAATATTCTCGTGCGGCTGAAGTCGAAGATATATTTTTTCAAACGTTATCACCTGTAGTTAATGATATTGTTTCAAACCTGGGTTCTTTTTTATGGTAGATTGAAGTACTTTCAGTCATTCTTTACAAAATCTTATGCAAATATTTGACAACGTTTCCACAAACATGAAAATGTAATAAAAAAAATTAACGAGACAATACTTGTCGGTAGATTTAATGAAACCTGTTTCAATGAATTATGGTTGCCTAATAATATATATATATATATATATATATATATATATATATATATATATATATATATGTCTCTGTGTGTGTGTGTGTGTGGTGTATGTGTGTGTATTCAGTAGCAGCCATAAATATTTGTAACGTAATACAAAACTCTCTGTAATTATCGTCCTAATTGGACGCAAATAATATAACGAAATTTTGTTCGCCGAGAGACACAATATGGCGACGAACAGAAAGAAAGAAAGAAAAACCAATCAAAGAAGGAAAGAACGAAAGAAAGGTATAAAGTAAATTAAAATGAAATAAACAAAGAGCGAAAGAAGGCAGGACAGAAAGAGAGGGAAAAAGAAAGAGAGAGTGAAAAAAAAGAAGGAAAAAACAAAGCTAATGAATAAGAAAAAATAAAGTAAGTATAAAAGGGAGAAAGAATGAATTTCTTTTCGGCGAGTTGAGATGTTGGGTGGGGGGAACAGAATATGATGCAGATCATAAAGAAAGAAAGAAAGAAAGCAAGAAAGCAAGAAAGATAGAAGAAAGAAAGAAAGAAAGAAAGAAATAAAGAAAGAAAGAAAGAAAGAAAGAAAATTAAAACAAAACAAATAAAGAACAAAAAAATGCTGGAAAGAAAGAAAGAAGCAACGAAAGACTGCATGCTGCACGCCGCGCTGAAGAATAAGAAGAAAATAAAGTATAAAAAAAGAGAAAGAAGAAAGTAGAAAAAAAAGCAAGCTAAACCAGAAAAAGAGGGAAAATAAAGAAGTAAACAGGCCAGGAAGACAAAAAAGATAAGAAAATGAAGCAAGAAAGAAAAAAAAAAGCAAACATAAGAACACACACACACACACACACACACACACACAAACCGAAAATATTTAAAAACTTGTATGACATTATTCATAAGTGTGTATCTACGCGGATCATATAACAGTTTATAGAAGAGCCTCCAAAAAAAACAGAACCCAGCAGCTTATCTCTCATCTGATCCAGACCAGGTAGCTTAATGGAAAAAAAACCTGGCTTATAAAATGCAATACAGCCAAAACCAAACTAGTAACGTATTACCACTACCGAGCAGACCACGAACTTTCACTTCTCATAATAGATGGGTCTTCTTTCAAGGATGCTCCTTGCCTCGAATGCCTATAATGTACCAATCTCTCTCCCAGGAGGAACACATCTATCCGATCCATCTCTAAAGATGCTAGAAAAACGTTCAGTTCATTTTACCGCTCCAGTAAGTATCCAACTCCCTTTGCTATACACTATATTTAAAAGAGCCAGCTCGGACCCAAAATGGATTATTGCTGCCATATCTAGGTTGGAGTTGCCCAGTTCTCACTTGCCTGTTTTAATACAGTTCAAAATTATCGATGTGACTGAAGAATTATTTTCCACCCTACAACTCCTTTCCACACAGACAAAATGTTGCGAGGCTCTCGCTGCTCTGTCGCTATTTCCATAGCATGTGTTCTGGCGTGCTACATTTCCCTTTTCCCCATAACCCCTGAACATTACAATTAGGACCCGACATGCCAAGTACATCAGCAAGTAGAGATTTACTTGACCCCCCAACAAACAACTGAGTCAGGTTATGACACAAGGTCAGTTTTTAACGTGAGGACCCGAGTGTTTTCGCTCGGGTCGCTGGTCCAAGTTGGTCTTAGCTTGTCCAAGCTGGTCTTAGCCGGTCCAAGCTAGTCGTAGCCGTGATACCACCAGCACAGGGACGGATCCCTACACCAGGTAAGGAGATATACTTCCCCCCCCTCCCAGCGTCAGGTTGTGACGCAAGGTCAGTTTTTAACGTGGGGATCCGAGTATTTTCACTCGGGCCGCTGGTCCAAGCTGATCTTAGCTGGTCATAGCTTGTCCAAGCTGGTCAGAGCTGGTCTAAGCTAGTCATAGCCGGTCCAAGCTAGTCGTAGCCGTTATACCACGGATATCTGGATAGCCGTGATACCGTGATATCTGGCCTAGGGATGGATCCCTGGGCCAGATAAGTAATTTTCTAAGCGTAGCTTAGATGTGGCACAAGGTTGAAAGTATGGGGCACCCAGTGAGGATCAAACTCACTATCCAGTTGTAACTGTTTTTTAGCGAGACAAGCTTGCTAACAATTACACCACGCCGAGGTGCCCAAGTGATTTTCAAAGCGTTGCTTAGATGTGGCACAAGGCCGAAAGTATGGGGCACCCAGTGAGGATCGAACTCACTACTCAGTCGTAACTGTTCTAGTGGGACAAGCCTGCTAACCATTATACCGTCTCGCGGTGCCAAGTACCTCAGCAAGTATAAGTTTGACCGTTGTGAGATAATGAAACTCTAGGCATTGCAACTCTCAGTCCATTACTCTATTAAATTTAATGCTTTATGTGTTATCTACTAAAAGTAGCCTTAAGAGGGGTCAAGACACAGAATAGGACACTGGCATTAGGGAATCATACCACGTTAAGTTTCCCAAGCAACGGACAGCTTTTCCGTGTTTCATGTCAACGGAAATTGTCTAAGCCTATCTGTTTAACAAGCACTTGAAGCGATGTAGTTATGATCGTAAAAAAAATGGTGATGATGATGATGATGATAGAGATAGAAGCGAAGGCAATGATGATGATTCAGTCAGTTATGTGTCATGCGTAATACACTCTTAGGCGATCATGTATCTTTCGATGTATAACTGACGATTTTTTTCCGCAGTACGTTGCCATTATCTTTCTGTGGTAGACCAGTTGCCATCTAAGGCAAAAGAACCTGGTCTGTCCTGCTATTTACTGATGCAAATTCCATTAAATATCACAGACAAGATGGTTTGATTAAGTTTTTTTTATATAATTTCACTTCAGTTATGTGCCATGCGTGATACACGCATAGGCGATACATGACTGACGAGGCAGATAGGTTACCATTTCTTTTTGTAGTAGATCAGTTGCCATCCAAGGTTATAAAACACGGATTGCATTCCTGTTTACCCATAACTGGGGGGGGAGTAGGAGAGGATACATACCTTTCCCAAGGATATTAGCACGTAAGTGAATGTAATGGATTCGACTGGAATTCGAACTCGGCTCTCCGATTCAGTTATGTGCCATGCGTGAGACACGCTTAGGCGATCATGTATCTTTCGATACATGACTGTCGAGGCAGATTTTTTTCTCTCGTGGTAGGTTGCCATTTCTTTCTGCGGTAAACCAGTTGCCATCCAAAGCTATAGAACACGGTCTGTCCTACTATTTACCCGTAGCTGTGGGGAGAGGAAGAAGATTCATACCTTTCCCAAAGGTATTAGTGCGTAAGTAAATGTAATGGATTCGACTGGAATTCGAACACGGCTCTCCGATTCCTCAATCCGAGTTACTCCACCGTGCCTCCTCTGATGATGATTACAGGAAAAACAAATAATATTACTACTACTTCTGCTATGTGTCGTGCCCCCCCACACACACACACCTCGGGATTTGCTCTTCATAACTTCATGCTTACGGCTACATCGCGTTGAAACACCGACACTCGTAAGATCACCGAACTTAAGCAACGTCGAGCCTTGTCAGTACCCAGATGAGTGACCAAATTAGGAATATCAGGTGCTATAAGTTTGGTTGTGCGGATGGCATAGCTCTTAATCTTTTTTGGTTGTATTATGAAACATTAACATCTTAATTCTATCATTATTTTCTCATTATGTGTTAAATGTGCTATCCATTTTAGTTGTTGCTGCAGCTGGAAGTTCACGGTGTGGTTTCTGTTAACTGGTGCAGTTCTCTGGGATTCTGTAGCTCTCGTCCACAAGCTTCGAAGAAGGATGCTCCCCGCCAAGACCCACTGTCTGCGTTTGTTCGAACGCATTGTTTCTTAGTGATCTGAAAAAACTCTGCGTTATACAGCTGGCAGTTTACATATTTGTGAACGCTTGCAGCGCCATGCATGGTATCCATATGAAAGTCTCGATCTGACGAGGTTATTTCAGAATACGACTCGAGTTTTTAGGTTAATGTTTTGAGTTTATAACAATTGGCGGTATTGTGGGAGACTACCTTCAACGCAAACTATTATATGTTCACTTTCCTTATCTCCTATACTATCTTTCTTATAACTGATCCATGCACCAAAGTATTTGTAGTGTTTACCGCTCATACAACAACCCCCTTGTGCATCTCAAGGCGGTGTAATGGTTAGCACGCTTGTCTCGCTAGAACAATTACGACTGAATAGTAAGTTCGATCCTCACTGGGTGCCTCATGCTTTCGGCCGTGTGCCACATCTAAGCTACACTTGGAAAATCTCTACAACATTCTTCTACATCAACCCTCTAACTTGAGTGCCTGTTGTATAGTGTGAACAGGTGTAAAAAATAATTCCAATTTTTTTTTATGATGGATCATACTATCATTACTTTCATTCCAGTCCATAGTTTGTTTTTTTTTTTTGGTTTTTTTGTTTTTTGGACAGGTTTATCTTGAGTATTAGCTGTGTGAAACAATTAATAGAGGTTCTTTTATTCAAGATTATTCTTATCCCAACTACGAATACCCATTCAATCGGCGTAAACATCCGCGTCATCAGTATACTAACCTGCAGAGCAGGAACTGGGTTTTATATAAATAGTTTCGAATACCAACTGTAAATGCTTATTGTCATCGACCATCTCACCCATGGATATCTATCTCATGGGGAAATGCTGTCCTGGCCTTCTGACTCGTCACATCCCGCCTGTGACAGGCAGAGTTTAGAGGGTGGAAAATAATTCGTCACTCACCAAGGACTCGGGGACGCTTTTGTACTCAAGACCCGAACGCGAAGACTGCGCAGCTCCAGTCCAAATATGGCAACAGTATTCCATTTTCGGTTCTGATCTGGAACTTATAAAGATAGAGAATAGTATGAGGAGTCAGGTACTTACTGGAGCGGTAGAGGGAGGCGATTATTTTCCTTGCATCTTTAGCGATAGATCAAGAGTTCCGCGTGAGATTTGGGTGGAAGTTTGAGGCCCAATATTCTCTCAAGATACGGTGCCTCTTTATAGGGAACATTCGTTCATCGTGACTGGCGGTAGTTTGGGGTCTGATTTGCGGTGATGGGATGTAACCAGTTCGATATTCGGGGCATTGATTATAAACCACCAATTCTTGTATCACTTGATTAATTTATCTACGCCATATTTCCGAGTATGGAAGACGATTTTTGTTCAAGCTACGTTGCTGGAAATATTACCATATTTCTTCTTATATTTTGATGCTTAAAACTTTTCTTCCTATAGTTTCGAAACCATATGGATGGGCAGACGCATCAAGTTTCTAATCATGTTTACATAAGGTAGGCACTGCCGAGGCTTCGTTCCTCCTAAAGTAATTGTTTAATAATATTACAGGCATTCCATATGTGAAGTAGGCAAATTCTTCTTCCCGCTGTCGTTTCCGGTGAATTTATTCAATTTGACGTATTTAGACATTCCCAGATAGCAATCTTATGGACGCCCGATTCTAATGAATGAGTTTAATATAATTGCTAGCTCTGCTGCACGAAAGGTTGGTTTACTAGTCTGGTGCAAATGCTATATATCTAGAGATACTTGATAAAATCCAAAAGAAGAACCTGCAATGTTATTGGTCCTGACCTGGCATCTTCGCTTCAGTCCCTTTACAACCGCCGTAATGTAGTTTCCCTTGTGCCTTTTCTATAAATACTTTCATAGTAATAGTTCCGATGAACTTTCCTCTATGGTACAAACAAATTGT